GGGGGGGAGGTGGAATTATACTTTTCCACTGTTGAAATGCCTAGATGTGAGGGGGTACGCGATAGACTTGCCTCCACGTGGTGCACCCCGGTCAACGTATACTCATATGGCCAAAAAGTCTACTATTCAGCAGTTGACTTCTAACTTCAAACTACCATCACTCCACTGTATGCCAAATTCAACTACTTCAACAGTACTCGTCTTACCTTTTCTCTGCATTTATGTTCATCTGTCTCTGTCACATCTGTGAAACACTCTTCTCTTCTCCCCCGCCCCTCTCGAATTTTTCTCCCTATGATGTTCCCCCTCCCCCTCTCTGAAGCCCCGAAGTCAGCTCCAGGGCTAATGATAACTATCAAAACGCCTGCGATTCGAAATAAATAAATAAATAAATGCCTAGACGTGATAATGGAAATCGTAGGGCCATTTTTTTTCTCGTTCACAAAAATGTACTTTTATTACACGTAATGGGCTATAATGTTTACACGTCATTAGTTAAATGAAGCAAAAAGAAGGAAAACTTACTCTTTAAAGGTCAGTCCAGTGACATCCTTCCCATTAATGGCAAGAATTCGATCACCAATCTCGATATTACCCCCACTCGCTGCCGTTCCTGGGGTTATTGATTTTACGTAGACACCAAGTTGGCCAAATCTTGTCATCTAAAGTTGTGCAATGAAAATTAATACTTCTCCTAAATGATTGAGGAATTCAGCTTCCCTCTTCCATTAAGAAAGAATTTTGAATTTTCAAATAGTTGTCGTGGGATATTTTGAGCAGAAAATTTGCATAATTTCAAATATTAGAAATGAATGCTACTGCCTTTTTCAGAAAGATTGATGATAGTTCTAAACGCGACCACCATAAGGTAAGCAGTTGTTTTTTTTCAGGTAAGATTATATCATGCATTGAGTATAAGATTGCGCTTTCTGGCTGATTGATTAGTTTATCTAAATATATCTAAATATACACTTCTTAATGAATAGTCGATTTCATTGATAATTTAAACTAAAGTTAAAATGAACCGGCACAGATTTGCTGCATCAACTTTAGAAAGCGAATTGAGTTAGAAATGATCGAATGAAAAATATCATCTTTGATTTTCTACATGAAGTAAAATTTAAGATACCAAATCAACTCAAATAGAACATTTTCTGGGTTCGGGAATTAGTCGATCTTTATCCACTGGTAAGATTAAAAAAACCGTAAAAAAATATTAGCAATAAACTCAAAACATCCTCAATAAAATTAATTCAATTTACATGGCCTTCAACAAATTTCATTCCATAGTTTTCCGTGGCAGCCTTCTCTAGGATCACATTCATGACAGCTGTTCCATTTGATCTTTCAAAGTCTACAGATATCAAGCTCTGCTGAGATTTGCGCATATTTGAATCCAAACCAAAGGAGTTCAAACTGTCCATCCGACGTCTGCTTGGGAAAGTGCCAAAATTGTATGCAGACTGGATCATCAGGTTTGATGGGTATGCCATAAGACTTCCATTCAGTGTTTCAGCATCTGCATCGATTGTGGAACCAGAAGGCGTTGCCGGTCGAGAAAGGCTCCTTTTGAACTCAGACCAGTCATCTCGAATCTTTTGAATCTCTTTAACATTCTTCAGTTCGAGAGATTGAGAGACATTCGAGCTGGAAACCGAGAGAATTGTTCCTCTGGATGCTCCGCGTCGTTGGAAATTTCTGGCGCGAGAAACAGACATTGTACCATTGTTTATATTCATATCTCCCAGGTGAGGTGAGGATAGTCCGAGACCGTAAATACCACCCCGAGATCGAAAGCCACCGCCGGGAACAGGAACTACGCGCTGGACGTCTGCTCGTTTGACACCACCAACCTCGGATATGGTGCCGCGGGAACGTCGACCGTCTAACTCCAATTCCGGTGTCCGTCTGTAATTGCCTGCCCGATTTGCCTATGGTAGAAAAAATAAAATAAATAATTTGTGAATGCAGTTTACTTTTCTCTAATAACACTAGGCCTGAATCAAGCATGTGTTGAGCTGAAGCAAGCAGTCTTTAGAGGTCGTTTGAAATTCCACACCCACGCACTACAATTTGCGTTTGATGAAAAGAGAAAAAATTTTCAAAATTTCGGTTATATCGCATCAAAAATGACGCCAAGGAAGTCGATAGTCTATAAATTATACAAAAGTTAATTTATTTTATCAAATTTATATTTGAGTACACGTCTGAAAGCAATTGACAATGAAAAACTGAGCAAATATACTAATTAATTTAATTTGTTCAGCTTTATTATTGCTTATAAATTTATAACAATTAGCGTATATCTGCCTTAAAAGAAATCGATAACTGCCAAAAGCAATGCATTTTAACAAATTTTTCAAAACATTTATCTCCTTCAAGTTCGACAAATTTTAGAAAGTAATTTCGAATACAATTCTCCATTGTAAAGAAGTAAAATAAAGTATGACTTACTACTGGAAGAATGAACTAGTGATAAATGCAAAATTGCTGAGCCATTTATTGGTTAAATTCAAAATCCTATTTCCTTTTATTGGTCTACTATAAGTTAACAGCGGAGACAATAAAAAAACTAGAATTAAACCTACCAAAATTGATCGGCTTGGACACTCTGTTGAGATTTTTGGCCTTGGAACGTCTAGAACATCAAGTGTAGAAGGTCGACGTACAGAATTTATCTCCGTATTAAGTTCTGCAAAATCTCGGAAATCGCTTAGATCACTGCTGTTTTGTTGCCTTCCTCTGGTTAGTTCTGGCATAAGTTTGTGATTATTCGAACGAGGAGAGTTGATCAAGGACACACTGTCCTGCGCAATTCGACCTGGAGGGGGGCAAACTTTCAATAGAGTACTCCATCTAAAGGCCTGATGACGTTCAGCTGAAAGTGATAACATGAAATCACATATCACTTGTTTATACTTTGCTGAGGAAACAACTTAGCTGAACTTACCCAGTGCAGAATCAAAGGCTTCAACAACGAACTTAGAGCGCGCAGTGCTGAATAGAGTGGCTAAATCAGGCGGTCGGTAGATGAGTTCGGCTATTTGGTGTTTCGGCTGTTCGTACAATCGTTCGGATTCCTGCCATATTCTCACGTACTCATTAACTGATTCCATTACTGCAGAATGTTATGCACACAGAATTAATGATACTCACAACAACACTATATATGGGGAGGAATACATTTAGCCAGTACTCACCATCTCCTCTTATGGTTGTTTCCTCATTCAGTATCCACTGCAGAACTTCCCGAATGCCTCTTCCATCGTCATACTCCTTCAGTATGAAGAAGAGAAGCGACGGCGGAATATTTGGTCGAATATTGCGCAAATCCGCCCAAGACATCTGGAATTGCAAATAATTAGGCATTATAGTCTAATAATTGTAATATATAATAGCATTACAGATTACTATTATTATGCGTATACGTTTTCGGGGTGTGCGATAGACTTATCTCCATGTGGTGCACCCTGGGCAACGTATGCTCA